GCAATGAATGCTAGACAATCTACTCAAAGGTGAAGAAGAGACTTGAAGCAATGGAAATGTGGTTCTACAGAAAGATGCTGAGGATACCATGGACCAAACGTGTGAGCAACAACAAGGTTTTGAAAAAAATGGAAACAAAAAGGAAACTTTTACTTAACACCAGGAAGAGGCAGTTGAGGTTTCTGGGGCATGTAATGAGGAAGGAGGGCTTGGAAAACCTGATACTCCCAGGACAGATTGGGGGAAAGAGGGACAGAGGAAGACAACACATAACATACTTGATGCACTTGAGTAAATGGATGGTAGAACAGGGTTTGGGAGAAATAACAAAAAAGACTAAACTTATTAAGAACTACAGAGACAGGGAAGATGTGAGGCCATGGTCGCCCATGTCCTTAGGGACATGGTATATAAAGAAGAAGACCTACGAAACAGATTGAGGGAAAGAGGGACAGAGGAAAGCAGCACGTAACATACATGATGAGGAAATGGATGGTAGAAAAGGGTTTGGGAGAAATAACAAAAAGACCAAAATTATTAAGAGCTACAAGAGACAGGAAGATGTGGAGGGCCATGGTCGCCTACGTCCTTAAGGGACACGGTATATAAAAAAAGAAGACTCACAAAACAGATTGATGGAAAGAGGGAGAGAGGAAAGCAGCACGTAACATACATGATGAGGAAATGAATGGTAATGGGAGAAATAACAAAAAGACAAAACTTATTAAGGGATACAAGGAACAGGAAGATCTGGAGGGCCATGACCGCTCACGTACTGAAGGCACACGGTACTTAGCAGAAGAAGAATTGGGCTTGAGTAAATAGATGGCAGAGAAGAAGAAGAAGAAGAAGAAGAAGAAGAAGCCAGACATCAAAGCTGCAGCATCCGTTTTCAGATGAAGACGACGAATTCTAGCAATGTAAAGTTAGCAGATTTGATTGGTTGGAAAATGGAGAATCCGTAAAACAAGAGAATCGTTTGAACGCGGGAGAAAATTGATTCTGATGAAGCGCCAGGTCAGAGGAGAAACGAAATATTAAAATAAAATTAAATAGACAGAGTTTTAACCAGGTTGAAGTTTAGAATTTGTTCTGTCAGATTTCATTCCCTTTTCTTTTTGCCCAGAGGATCTGGCTAATATTTGCCTCTAGCTAAACAGCCAATCAGAACGTTCCTGAACGAACTCAAATATTCTCGAATTAAAGAATTAGACTGAATCTTTCTTCCCAAATACACTTATTTCCATTTTACTCCCAAGCTGTGAACTAAATGATTCTTCTTCTTCTTCTCGCCTTCTCCTTTTTCTTCTTCTTTCCTCCTCCTCCTCTTTCTTCTTCTTCTTCTTCTTCTTCTTCTTCTTCTTCTCTGCTTCTCCTTTTTCTTCTTCTTTCCTCCTCCTCCTCTTTGTTCTTCTTCTTCTTCTTCTCTCCACCTCCTCCTCCTCCTCCTCTTTGTTCTTTTTCTTCTTCTTCTCTCCACCTTCTGCTCCTCCTCCTCTTTGTTGTTGTTCTTCTTCTCTCCACCTTCTGCTCCTCCTTCTCGTAATTATTTGTCTCTTCCTTCTTCTCCTCCTTCAATTTCTTCTTCTGCTTCTTCCTCTTCTGCTTCTTTTCTCCTCCTCCTTTTCTTCTTCTAATTCTTTTTTCCTCCTCCTCCTCCTTCTTTTTCTGTCTCTTCTTCTTACTCCTCCTCCTCCACCTTCTTCCTCTCCTTCTTCTTTTTCCTCCTCCTTCTTCTCCTCCTTTTTTCTCTCCTCCTTATGTTCCTCCTGCTCCTTCTTGTAATCCTTTTTTCTCTTCCTTCTTCTGCTTCTCCTCCTCCTTCTTCTTCTTCTTCTGCTTCTGTTTTCCTCCTACTACTTTTCCCCCTCCTTCTTCTTCTTCTTCTAATTCTTTTTTCCTTCTTCTTCCTCCACTTCTGCTTCTTTTTCTTTTCCGTCTTTTCTTCCTCCTTCTTCTTCTTTTTCCTCCTCCTTCTGCTCCTCACCCTTCTAATTCTTTTTTCTCTTCCTTCTTCTTTTTCTTCTTCTGCTTCTTCCTCTTCTGCTTCTTTTTCTCCTTATCTATTTTCCTCCTTTTTCTTCGTTTTCTTCTTTTTTCCACTTCTGCTTCTTTTTCTTTTCCGTCTCTTCCTTCTTCTTCTTCTTCTTCTTCTTCTTCTTCTTCTATGTTCCGTGTCTCTTCAGGAGTTTTGTGATCTTGGCTTCACACATCTTCCTATTTGAGCTCTTAGTAAAGTTTTATCTATTTTTATAATTGTCTTTTAAACACACCTCCTACTCTCCATTCCATCATACAATCACAAGATTAGGGACCCAGCTGCCTATCCATTCCCCTATTGCATTCAATATACCATGTGAGTTCAATTTTCTAAGCCCTCTTTCCTCATTATGTGTTCCAGAATTTTCAATATAAGTGTCCATTTTGTTTCCATTTTCCTTTAAATTACATCGTTGCTTACGCGCTATAATATTCTCATTATCCATTTTATAGAACCACGCTTCTATTGTCTCAAGTCGTCACTTCATTTCTGAGTCCAGCATTCATTGCCAAATAAGAGAATTACATAGCCGTTCAAGCACTCTTTTCTTTGTTTCTTTTTCATTAAACCATTTCGCCGATTGCAAGGCGATATTATCACGAGAACGCAATGGGTTATTTACATTGAAGCAGAATGAGAAGTTTTTAGTGAGTAGAAAGGACAATATAAGAACGGAAATGAAGGTGACTGATGACGATAGACGGTGCATTTAAATTGCAGGTGGCAGGGCAGCATGAAATCTAAAGAGAGTTTCAGGGAGAGTTCCGAGAAAAGAAACTATTAGAATAGAACATACGGTTGAATCTAGCTCGTTCAACAGTAAAACTAGTTGCCAATCTAGTAGCACATTTAAATTCATGCAGTCAAGGCACGAAGGAGAAAAGGAAAAAACACCTCAGGACAGTTTCCATGAAATCACTTATAGAAAAGATAGAAAGAAACCACATCAAGGCAATGAGAAAGCGGCTGAAGCCGAGATGCCAGATCAAGATTGATTATATTGCAAACGCTTCTTTAAATTCTTTCAAGAATCTCGAGTATATAGTAAGAGAAGCTGAGCAAATATGGCAGCAAGATTCAATGCAAGGTCGAATGGTGGATTTAGAAATATGCAAGATGGATTCTAACGAGAGAAACCTTCTGGCGCGACACAATGAACCAACTTCCGTAGGAGCAGACCCATAAATTCAATATAGTCACTCCACTTCATGTCAGTGTAAAGCGTGAGCCGAAGTATAAAACGTAATACCAAGTGTAAAACGTGATCCCAAGTGTAAAACGTGAGCCCAAGTGTAAAACGTGAGCCCAAGTGTAAAACATGAGCCCAAGTGTAAAACGTGAGTCGAAGTATAAAACGTGAGCCCAAGTAGAAAACGTGATCCCAGTGTAAAACGTGAGCCCAAGTGTAAAACGTAAGACCCAGTATAAAACGTGAGCCGAAGTATAAAAAGTGAGTCTAAGTGTAAAACGTGAGCCCAAGTATAAAACGTAAGACCCAGTTAAAACGTGAGCCCAAGTGTATAACGTGAGCTCAAGTGTAAAACGTAAGACCCAGTATAAAACGTGAGCCCAAGTGTATAACGTGAGCCGAAGTATAAAAAGTGAGTCCAAGTGTAAAACGTGAGCCCAAGTATAAAACGTAAGACCAAATGTAAAACGGGAGCCCAAGTGTAAAAAGTAAGTCCAAGAAAGCGCAAAGATTTTCTTTTATTGATAGTTAGCATCAGCCATGCTAATGGCTGTCAGAAAAGGTTCTCTGTGGTGATTAAAAGAGAATAGTTTGGTCTTGTATGTGTTAAAATTTACAAGCTATTCTTTGCCCGAGTTAACGACTGAGTGGAGTTATCTTTCAAGAGCAGTCGTCAATTTTAATCTTATCGAACATGGCGGAATTGTTACTAAGGCAGGGTAAGTAGTTGTGTGATCAGCATAAATCCCTTCTTTTTTTAATTCATTGCTTAGATTTTAGAAGCCACATTTTGCTATTCCAATAGCCGTTCGGATTTCGGTGCAATATCTTTTATCCTGCGTTAAAACACTTTAAATTTTTGCACCTGTTTAGTTTTAACATATCCAGTTCGCAGTTCGCATTTTTGGTGTCTTTCTCTTGCTAAAAACCATATGTTATGTATTCTTAAAAATCGTTGATGTTATAGGAATCGAAGACAAGTTCTTTAATGATAGTCTTAAATAGTAACCACATAGCTATAACTCCAGTTGTTAGAAGCCTGAAGAGCAATTTCTTTTAATTATTTCCCAAATGTTGCCCAGCAAGACAATTAATAGGACAAGAAAATGTCTTTAAAGAGAACTTAAAAGAAATAGTATAACACGAATGAACATGGGAAGTTAGTTTTAAATGTGGGGAAAAAACCTCTGCAGAATAAATTTAAAAAAATACAAGAAATAACAGTGAAAATAAATTTTAAATAGAAAGCCTCGAAGATCTTTTGTAAAAGAAAACGCAGTAAAACAAAAGCAGCAATAATCAAGAAAAGTGCAAGTTGGTAAAAATCTCAAAAACCCATTAACTTCCATTTAATGCTTCGTCCCAACTTTTCTTTTAAACGTTTTCATTTTTTTGATTGATTTGAAAATCGTTTCTTCCATTTGCTTAGCATTTTCCTATTCCATTCTGTTATCTTTTTTTTTTTCTTTTAAACCATTTTTTGTGAAAGGTTTTTTTAATCTTCCGCCGTTTCATAAGTTTTACGTTTCTTTCAGAATTTTTCTTGTCGTTTTCTTTCCATTGCTTTACTCTTTCTTTATTTTTTCCTATTCCATTCTTTGTTCTTTCTTTTTTTTTCTTTCTTTCTTCTCTAACTTTTTAACTCATAACAGTTTTTTTGTGTTTTCCTTTTTTTATATTTCCTCCTCTACCTCTTTCTTTTTCGTTTCATTCTTTTCTTTCTTCTGGATTTCACCCATCACCTTATCTTTTTCTTAGTTTCTTTACTTGATGGTTTCTCCCTTTTCTTTCATTTTTCTTTCTTTCTTTCTTTCTTTTCTTTTCTTTCATTTATTTCTTTTTCTTTCAGTTTTTCGTTTTTCCTTTGTTTATTTTTTCAATTTTTTTCTCTTTTCTTTCTTTCTTTCTTTTTTTTTCTTTCTTTCTTTCCTCTTTTCTTTTTTCTTCTCATATTCACACCTGCAACTTTTTGATTCTCTCTTTCCTTTGTTTTTTTTCCATCAATATTCTTTCCCTCCTCTTTCCTTTTCTTTCTTTCTTTCTTTCTTTTTCTTTCTTTTTTCTTTTTCTTCTCAATATTCTTTACTTCTCCATATTCTGTACCACCTTCCTGGCTTTCTTTCTTCTTTCTTTGTTTCTTTACTTCATCTTTCTTTCTTTCTTTTTTCTTTCTTTCTTTTTTTTCTTTCTTTCTTTCTTTCTTTCACCTATGTTTTTTCTTTCTTTCTACCTTTCTTTATCTTTCTTTCTTTCCTTCTTTCTTTTTATCAATATTCTATTATCATCTTTCTTTCTTTCTTTCTTTCTTTCTTTTTTCTTTTTCTTTTTTCTATTTTGTTCCTTTGTTTATTTTCCATCAACATTTCCTTTCTTTTCCTTCTTTCCTTATCAATTTCTATTTCTTTCTTTCTTTTTTTCTTTCTTTCTTCTCACTATTCTACTACTAACCTTCACCTATGTTTCTTTCATTCTTCTCCATATTCTACTACCTACCTTCACTTGATTATCTTTCTTTCTTTCCTTCTTTCTTTCTTATCAATATTCTATTACCTAACTTCATCTTTCTTTCTTTCTTTCTTTCTTTCTTTCTTTCTTTTTTTCTTTCTTTCTTATCACTATTCTACTACTAACCTTCACCTATGTTTCTTTCATTCTTTCTTTCTTATCAATCTTCTACTTACCTACCTTTTTCTTTCTTTCTTTTTCTTTCTTTCAATTTCTTTCCTTTTTCTTTCTTTCTTATCACTATTCTATACTACTAACCTTCACCTATGTTTCTTTCATTCTATTACCTACCTTCAGTTATCTTTCTTTCTTTCTTTCTTTTCTTTCTTTCAATTTCTTTACCTTTCTTTTCTTTCTTTCTTTCTTTTCTTTCTTTTTTTCTCTTTAACTTTCACCTATGTTTCTTTCATTCTTCTCCATATTCTACTACCTACCTTCACTTGATTATCTTTCTTTCTTTCCTTCTTTCTTTCTTATCAATATTCTATTACCTAACTTCATCTTTCTTTCTTTCTTTCTTTCTTTCTTTCTTTCTTTTTCTTTTCTTTCTTATCACTATTCTACTACTAACCTTCACCTATGTTTCTTTCATTCTTCTCCATATTCTACTACCTACCTTCACTTGATTATCTTTCTTTCTTTCCTTCTTTCTTTCTTATCAATATTCTATTACCTAACTTCATCTTTCTTTCTTTCTTTCTTTCTTTCTTTTTTTCTTTTTTCTTTCACTTTCTTACCTTCACTATGTTTCTACTATTCTAACCTTCACTTGATTATGTTTCTTTTTCTTTCTTCTCCTTATCAATTCTGTTACCCTAGCCATCTTTCTTTCTTTCTTTCTTTCTTTCTTTTTTTCTTTCTTTCTTACCTTCTACTACTAACCTTCACCTATGTTTCTTTCTTTCTTTCATTTCCTTGATTTCTTTCTTTCTTATCAATATTCTATTACCTAACTTCATCTTTCTTTCTTTCTTTCTTTCTTTCTTTCTTTCTTTTTTTCTTTCTATTATCACTATTCTATTTCTTAATTCTTCTCCTTCACCTACCTTCCTTGATTATCTTTCTTCATTCTTCTCCAATATTCTACTACCTACCTTCTTTTCTTTCTTTCTTTCTTTCTTTTTTCTTTCTCACTATTCTTTCTTATCAATATTTCTATTACCTGATTATCTTTCTTTCTTTTTCTTTTTCTTATCAATATTTTTCTTTCTTTCTTTCTTTCTTTCTTTCTTTCTTTCTTTCTTTTTTTCTTTCTTTCTTATCACTATTCTACTACTAACCTTCACCTATGTTTCTTTCATTCTTCTCCATATTCTACTACCTACCTTCATCTTTCTTTCTTTCTTCTTTCTTTCATATCAATATTCTATTTCTTTCTTTCCTTTTCTTTCTTTCTTTTTTCTTTTTTTCTTTCTTATCACTATTCTACTACTAGCCACATACCTATATTTTTATTCTTTTCATATTCTTTCCTTCTTTCTTTCTTTCTTTCCTTCTTTCTTTCTTTTTCTTTCTTTCTTTCTTTCTTTTTTTCTTTCTTTCTTATCACTATTCTACTACTAACCTTCACCTATGTTTCTTTCATTCTTCTCCATATTCTACTACCTACCTTCACTTGATTATCTTTCTTTCTTTCCTTCTTTCTTTCTTATCAATATTCTATTACCTAACTTCATCTTTCTTTCTTTCTTTCTTTCTTTCTTTTTTCTTTCTTTTTTCTTTCTTTCTTTTATTCTTCTCCATATTCTACTACTAACCTTCATTATGTTTCTTTTTTTTCTTTCTTCTCCATATTCTATTACCTAACTTTCTTTCTTTCTTTTTCTTTCTTTCTTTCTTTCTTCTTTCTTTCTTTATTCTTCTCCCATGTTATTCTATTTCCTTGATTATCAACTTTCATCTTTTCTTTCTTCATCTTTCTTTCTTTCTTTCTTTCTTTTTTCTTTCTTTCTTATCACTATTCTTCTACTAACCTTCACCTGTTTATTTTTCTTTCATTCTTCTCCATATCTTTCTTTCTTTCCTTCTTTCTTTCTTACAAATTCCTACCTTCATCTTTCTTTTTTCCTTTCTTTCTTTCTTTCTTTCTTTCTATTCTACTCAATATTCTATTATTCCTAACTTCATCTTTCTTTCTTTTCCTTCTTTTCTTTTCTTATCAATATTCTTTCTTTCTTTCTTTTCTTTTTTTTCTTTCTTTCTTATCACTATTCTACTACTAACCTTCACCTATGTTTCTTTCATTCTTCTCCATATTTCTACCTTCCTTGATTATCCTTTTACCTTCAATATTCTATTACTAACTTATCTTTCTTTTCTTTCCTTCTTTTTTTCTTTCTTATTATTCAACTATGTTTCTTTCATTCTTCTTACCTAACCTTCATCTTTCTTTCTTTTTCTTTCTTTCTTTCTTTCTTTCTTTCTTTTTTTTTTCTTTTCTTTTTTCTTTTTTCACTATTCTACTACTAACCTTCACCTATGTTTCTTTCATTTCTTCTCCATATTCTACTACCTTGATTATCTTTCTTCTTTTTCCTTCTTTCTTTTCCTTCTTGATTATCTTTCTTTTCTTTCTTTCTTTCTTTCCTTCTTTCTTTCTTTCTTACGACTAAATATGTTTCTTTATTCTTCCTCATATTTACTACTTGTTATCTTTCTTTCTTTTTCTTTTATCAATTTCTTTCTTTCTTTCTTTCTTTTTTTTTTTCTTTTCTTTCTTTTCACTTATTCTACTACTAACCTTCACCTATGTTTCTTCTCCATATTCTTCTACCTTCCATTATCTCTTTCTTTCCTTCTTTCTTTCTTTCTATTCTATTACCTACCTTTCCTTTCTTTTATCTTTCTTTCTTTCTTTTTCTTTCTTTCTTATCAATATTCTCTAACCTCCCTGTTTCTTTTCTTCTTATTCCTACCTACCTTCATCTTTCTTTCTTTTTCTTTCTTTCTTTCAATATTTCTTTTTTTTTCTTTCTTTCTTTTTTCTTTTTTTCTTTCTTCTTATCACTATTCTTACTACCTATGTTTCTTTCATTCTTCTCCATATTCTACAACCTACCTTCCTTGATTATCTTTCTTTCTTTCCTTCTTTCTCTTATCAATATTCTATTCTTTTCTTTCTTTCTTTCCTTTCTTTTTTTCTTTTTTCTTATCACCTTCATATGTTTCTATCCATATTCTACTACCTACCTTCATCTTTCTTTTTTCTTTCTTTTCTTTCTTTCTTTTTTCTTTTTTTTTCTTTCTTTCTTTTTTTTTCACTATTCTACTACTAACCTTCACCTATGTTTCTTTCATTCTTCTCCTTTTATTCTATCAATACCTACCTTCACTTCATCTTTATCTTTTCTTTTCTTTCTTTTTTTCTTTCTTTCTTATCAATATTCTCTTTACCTAACTTCATCTTTCTTTCTTTCTTTCTTTCTTTCTTTCTTTTTTTTTTTCTTTCTTTTTTCTTTCTTTCACTATTCTACTACTAACCTTCACCTATGTTTTCTTTCATTCTTCTCCATATTACCTTCCTTGGTTACCTACCTTCTTTTCTTTCTTTCATTTGTACTACTTCATCTTTCTTTTTTCTTTCCTTTCTTTTTTCTTTCTGTCTAAATATTCTGTTCACCTATGTTTCTTTCATCTTTCCATTTCTTTCTTTCTTTTTTCTTTTTTCTTTCTTTCTTATCACTATTCTATTTGCTACTAACCTTCACCTTTGTTCTTTCTTTCTTCTTTCCATATTCACCATTCTTCCTACCTTCCACTTGATTATCTTTCTTTTCTTTCCTTCTTTCTTTCTTATCAATATTCTTTCTTTTTCTTCATCTTTCTTTCTTTCTTTCTTTTTTCTTTTTTTTCTTTTCTTTCTTATCACTATTCTACTTTAACCTTCACCTATGTTTTCTTTCATTCTTCTCTTTATTCTCATCCTACCCACCTTCACTTGATTATCTTTCTTTCTTTTTTTCCACCTTTTTTTTCTTATCAATATTCTATTACCTTTCTTTCTTTCTTTCTTTTCTTTCTTTCTTTTTTTTTCTTTCTTTCTTATCAATATTCTATTTCTTTCCTTCACTTTTGTTTCTTCTTTTTTCTTTTCTTTTCTTTTCTTTCTACCTGCCTTCACTATATTTCTTTCATTATTCTTTTTTTCTTTCTTTCTTTCCTTCTTTCTTATCAATATTCTATTACCTAACTTCATCTTTTTCTTTCTTTCTTTCTTTTTTTTTTTTTTTGTTTTCTTTCTTATCACTATTCTACGACTAACCTTCACCTATGTTTCTTTCTTTCTTTCTTTCTTTCTCACTACCTAACCTTCACCTTGATTATCTTTCTTTCTTTTCCCTTCTTTTCTTTCTTATCAATATTCTATTACCTAACTTCATCTTTCTTTCTCTTTCTTTCTTTCTTTCTTTTTTTTTCTTTCTTTCTTATCTTTATTCTACTACTAACCCACCTATGTTTCTTTCATTCTTCTTTTCTACTACCTACCTTCCTTGATTATCTTTTTTCTTTCCTTCTTTCTTTCTTATCAATATTCTATTACCTAACTTGATTATCTTTCTTTCTTTTCCTTCTTTCTTCTTTCTTTCTTTCTTTCTTTCTTTTTTTTTCTTTCTTTCTTATCACTATTCTACTACTAACCTTCACCTATGTTTCTTTCATTCTTCTCCATATTCTACTACCTACCTTCACTTGATTATCTTTCTTTCTTTCTTTCTTTCTTATCAATATTCTATTGCCTCTTTCTTTTTCTTTCCTTCTTTCTTTCTTATCACTATTCTACTAACCTTCACCTTTTACCTACCTTTCTTTTTCTTTCTTTCTTATCAATGTCTATTTCTTTTTTCTTTTCTTTCTTTTTTTTTTCTTTCTATTCTTCTAACTAACCTTCACCTATGTTTCTTTCATTCTTCTCCATATTCTACTACCTACCTTCTTTTGATTTATCTTTCTTTCTTTTTCCTTCTTTTCTTTCTTATCAATATTCATTACCTAACTTCATCTTTCTTTCTTTCTTTTTCTTTCTTTTTTCTTTCTTTTCTGTTCTCTTTCCTTCACCTATATTTTTTCTTCTTATTCTACTACCACCTATTTTTTCTTTCATTCTTTTCTCCATATTCTACTACCTAACCTTCTTTTCTTTCTGCATCTTTCTTTCTTTTTTCCTTCTTTCTTTCTTATCACCTATATTTCTATTCTTACCATATTCTACCTACCTTCATCTGCTTTCTTTCTTTCTTTTCTTTCTTTCTTTGTTTTTTTTGCTTTTCTTTCTTTCATATTCTACGACTAACCTTCACCTATGTTTCTTTCATTCTTCTCCTTGATTATCTTTTTTCTACCTACCTTCTTTTCTTTCTTTCTTCTTTCTTTCTTTTTTTTCTTTCTTTCTTATCAATATGCATAACACTTCTTCCTCTCTTCTTTCCTTCTCTTTCTTTCTTTCTTTTTTTTTCTTTCTTTCTTCTCTCTATTCACTTTCTTCTTTCCTTTCACCTTTGTTTCTTTTCATTCTTCTCTTAATTCATACTTACCTTCCTTGATTATCTTTCTTTCTTTCCTGTTTTCTTTCTTATCAATATTCTATTACCCTAACTTCATCTTTCTTTCTTTCTTTTCTTTTCTATTTTTTTTCTTTCTTTCTTCTTCTCCTATTCTACTACTAACCTTCACCTGATTTTCTTTCTTTCTTCTCCATCTTTTCTTTTCTTATCTTGACTTCATCTTTCTTTTTTTCTTTTTTCTTTTCTTTTTTCTTTCTTATCAATATTCTATTACCTTACCTATGTTTCTTTCTTTCTTCTCCTTTACTTTCCTTTTTTCTTTTTCTTTCTCAATCTCTATTACTACTTCATCTTTCTTTAACTTTTCTTTCTTTCTTTTTTCTTTCTTTCTTATTATTCTACTACCATGTTTTCTTTATTCTTCTCCTATTTCTACCTACCTTGATTATTTTTCTTTCTTTCCTTCTTTCTTTCTTATCAATATTCTATTACCCTAACTTCATCTTTCTTTCTTTCTTTCTTTTTTTCTTTCTTTCTTTCTTTTTCCTTCTTTCTTTTTATTCTACCTACCTTCATTTATTTTTTTTCTTTCATTCTTCTCATATTCTATTACCCTACCTTGTTTTGATTATCTTTCTTTCTTTCTTTCTGTTTTCTAATATTCCTTCTTTCTTTTCTTTTTTCTTTTCTTTCTTATCAATTCTTAAACTTCATCTTTTTTCTTTTCTTTCTTTTCTTTTTTACTTTCTTTCTTCATTCTCTCTATTCTACTAACCTTCACCTATGTTTCTTTCATTTCTTTTCTCCAATATTCTACCTACCTACCTTCTTTCTTTCTTTTTTCTTTCTTTTCTTTCTTTCCTTCTTTGTTCTTCTTATTCAATATGTCTTTCTTTCTTTTTAACTTTTTCATCTTTCTATTTTTTCTTTCTTTCTTTCTTTCTTTTTTTTTCTTTCTTTTTCTTTTCTTTCTATTCTATTCTATAACCTTCACCTATGTTTCTTTCATTCTTCTCCATATTCTACTACCTACCTTCACTTGATTATCTTTCTTTCTTTCCTTCTTTCTTTCTTATCAATATGCTATTACCTAACTTCATCTTTCTTTCTTTCTTTCTTTCTTTTTTTCTTTCTTTCTTCTCTTTTTTATGTTTCTTTCATTCTCTCATATTCTACTACCTACCTTCCTTAACCTTTCACCTTTCTTTCTTTCATTTCTATTCTCCCTTTCTTTCTTACCTTACCTTTTTTTCTTCTTTTGATTATTCTCTTTTCTTTCTTTCTTTCTTCTTTCATATTTCTACCTATCAATATGCCTTTCTTTATTTCCTTAACTTCTCTCTCTATTCACCTCTTCTTTCTTTCTTTTCTTTCTTTTTTCTTTCTTTCTTTCTCTCTATTCTATTTCCACTTTCATTACCTTCCTTGATTATCTTTCTTTTTCTTTCTTTCTCAATATTCTACCTACCTTCACTTTCTTATCTTTCTTTCTTTTTTCCTTCTTTCTTTCTTTCAATATTCTTCTTTTACCTACCTTCATCTTTTTCTTTGTTTTTCTTTCTTTTCTTTCTTTCTTTCTTTTTTTTCTTTCTTTCTTCTCTTTTTTCTTTACTACTATCTCTCACCTATGTTTCTTTCATTCTTCTCCATATTCTACTACCTAATGTCATTTGATTATCTTTTTTCTTTTCCTTCTTTCTTTCTTATCAATATTCTATTACCCTCTTTCTTTCTTTCTTTCTTTTCTTTCTTTCTTTTTCTTTCTTTTTCTTTTTCTTTCTTTCATTTTCTTTTCTTTTCTTATCATTCTATTACCCTAATATTTCTTTTCATTCTTCTCTTATCACTATTCTTTACCTTGTTTGATTACCTTTCAAGTTTCTTTCTTTCCTTCTTCTTCTTTTCTTATCAATATTCTATTACCTAACTTCATCTTTCTTTCTTTCTTTCTTTCTTTTTTTCTTTTTTTTTTAACTCATCTGTTTACTTATTCTTTCCTTCATATTCATTCTTCTCTTATCAATATTCTTTACCTACCTTCTTATCTTTCTTTCTTTCCTTTTTTTCTTTCTTTCTTATCAATTTTCTTTTTTTTTCTTTCTTTCTTAATTTCATTTGTTTTTTTCTTTCTTTCATTCTTCTATTCTACTAACCTTCACCTATATTTCTTTCATTCTTCTCCATATTCTACTACCTTCCTTAGTTCCTTTCTTTCTTTCTTGATTTTCTTTCTTTCTTTGCTTTCCTTCTTTTGTTTTTTCTTATCAATATTTCTATTCTTTACCTAACTTTATCTTTTTCTTTCTTTCTTTCTGTTTTTTTTCTTTCTTTTTCTTTTTTTTTATTCTACTACTACTAACTTCACCTGTTTTTCTTTCATTCTTTCATATTTTACCTACCTTCACTTGATTATCTTTCTTTCTTTTCCTTCTTTCTTTCTTATCAATATTCTATTACCTAACTTTCTTTCTTTCTTTTTTCTTTTTCTTTTTTCTTTCATTTTTTTCTTTCTATGTTTTTCATTCTCTCCATATTCTACTACAACTTATATCTTTCTTTCTTTCATTCTTCTTTATCAATATTCTATTACCTATCTTTCTTTCTTTTCTTTCTTTCTTTCTTTCTTTTCTTTTCTTTCTTTCTTTTTTTTTCTTTTATTCTTCTAATTCTGTCTTTGTTTTCTTTCTTTTTCTTTCTTTCAATATTCTATTTACTTTTCTTCTTTCTTTCTTTTTTCACTATTCTATTCTACTAACCTTCACCTATGTTTCTTTCATTTCTTCTCCATATCTTTCTTTTCTTACCTACCTTTCTTTCTTTCTTTTTTCTTTCTTTCTTTTTTCTTTCTTTCTTTCTTTCTTAACCTTCAATATTCTTTATTTACCTAACCTTCATCTTTCTTTCTTTTTCTTTCTTTTTTCTATTTTTCATTTTTTTTTTTTTTTCATTTCTTTTTTTTTTCTTTATTCTCTCTACTAACCTTCACCTATGTTTCTTTCATTCTTCTCCATATTCTACTACCTACCTTCACTTGATTATCTTTCTTTCTTTCCTTCTTTCTTTCTTATCAATATGCTATTACCTAACTTCATCTTTCTTTCTTTCTTTCTTTCTTTTTTTCTTTCTTTCTTCTCTCTATTCTACTACTAACCTTCACCTATGTTTCTTTCATTCTTCTCCATATTCTACTACCTACCTTCACTTGATCTTTCTTTTTTCTTTCTTTCTTTCCTATTTCTTTCTTTCTTTCTTTTTTCTTTTTTTCTTTATTTCTTCTCCTATTTGTTTTTTTCTATCTTTCTTTCATTTTCTCCATATTTTACCTTTCTTTTATCTTTCTTTTTTCCTTTTTTCTATTTACTACCTTTCTTTTTCTTTCTATTTTTCTTTCTTTTTTTTCTTTTCTTTCTTTTATTCACTATTACTTTTACTTTTTTTCTTTCATTCTATTACCTCTTTCTTTCTTTCTTTTCTTTTTCCTTCTTTCTTTCTTATCAATATTCTATTACCTATATTCTACTCTCTTTCTTTCTTTCTTTCTTTCTTTCTTTCTTTCTTTGTTTTCTTTCCTTTTTTCTTTTTTTTTCTCTATTCTACTACTAATGTCACCTATGTTTTCTTTCATTTCTTCTCCATATCTACCTTCCTTGATTATCTTTCTTTCTTTCCTTCTTTCTTTCTTATCAATATTCTATTACCCTAACTTCATCTTTCTTTCATTTCTTTTCTTTCTTTCTTTCTTTTCTTTTTTCTTTTATTCTATTTCTTCACTATTCTTTTTACTACTAACCTGTTTTCTATGTTTCTTTCATTCTTTCTTTTCCATATTCTCTTACCTAACTTCATCTTTTCTTTCTTTCTTTCTTTTTTTCTTTCTTTCTTTTTCCTTTCTTTTCTTTTTTTACCTTCAATTTCTTTCATTCTTTTCTATTACCTTACCTACCTTCCAGTTTTCTTTCTTTTCCTTCTTTCTTTCTTTCAATATTCTTTCTCTTTTTTCTTTCTTTTTTTTCTTTTCTTTCTTTTTTTCTTTTCTTTCTTTTTTTCATTCTTATTCTACTACTAACCTTCACCTATGTTTCTTTCATTCTTCTCCATATTCTACTACCTACCTTCACTTGATTATCTTTCTTTCTTTCCTTCTTTCTTTCTTATCAATATTCTATTACACTTCCACCTTTCTTTTTTTCTTTCTTTCTTTCTTTCTTTTTCTTTCTTTCATTTTTTTTTCTTTCTTTCTTTCTCTATTCTTACCTACCTTCACCTATGTTTCTTTTTCTTCTCCTGTTTCTTTATTCTGTTACCTACTTTCTTTCTTTCTTTCTTTTTTCTTTTCTTTTATCTTTCTTTTCATTTCTTTTTTCTTTTTCTTTCACTATATTTCTTTCATTCTTCTCCATATTCTACCTACCTTCATCTTTCTTTCTTATACTTTCTTCATCTTTCTTTCTTTCTTTCTTTTTTTTTTCTTTTTTCTTTCTTCTCTCTATTCTTCTACTATTTCTTTTTACTACCTATGATTTCTTTCATTCTTCTCTTTTATTCTATATTCTATTACCTAACTTCATTTCTTTCTTTCTTTCTTTCTTTCTTTTTTTTCTTTTCTTTCTTTCTTCAATATTCTACTACTTACTTTCATTTCTTCTTCTCCATTTCTACTACCTACCTTTCTTGATTTCTTTTTTCTTTCCTTTTTTCTCAATTCTTTACCTTCTTCTTTCTTTCTTTCTTTTCTTTCTTTTTCTACTTACTAACCTTCACCTATGTTTCTTTCATTCTTCTCCATATTCTACTACCTACCTTCTTATCTTGATTATCTTTCTTTCTTTTCCTTCTTTCTTTTTTTTCTTATCAATATTCTATTACCTAACTTTCATCATATTTTTCTTTCTTTTTCTTTCTTTTTTTTCTTTCTTTCTTTCTTTTTTTTTTTTTCTTTCTTCTCACTATTCTACTACTAACCTTCACCTATGTTTTCTTCCTATTCTTCTCCATCTTTCTTTACTACCTTTCCTTCTTTCTTGATTATCTTTCTTTCTCTTTTCCTTCTTTCTTTTTATCAATATTCTATTACCTTATCTTTCTTTCTTTCTTCTTTCTTTTTTTTCTTTCTTTCTTTCTTTTTCTTTCTTTTTTTTTTTTTTTCTTTTCTTTCTTTCTTTCTTTCTTCCTTCTTTTTTCAATATTTTAACTGCTCATTTCTTTCTTTTTTTCTTTCTTTCCTTTTTTTTGTTTGTTTATTTTCCATCAGCATTTAATTTCTTCCCTTCCCTTCATTCATTTCTTTCTTTCTTTTTCTTTCTTTCTTTCTTTTTTCTTTCTTTTCATTTTTTTTCTTTCTTTCTTTTTTTTTTCTTTCCCATATTTATTTTTTCGTTTCCATTTGTTTATTTGTGTTTCTTTGTTTTCACGTTCTTTTTCTTTTTTAATCTTTTATTTTCTCTTCTTTTTTTTCACTCTTTCTTTATTTTCACGTTTTTCATTCGCTATTTTCCTTTATGTCTCTTTACACGTTTCTTTATTTCATTTTTTCTTACGTCCCTCTTTCATTCTTTTTTGTTTCTTTATCTTTCTTTCTTTATCTTTCTTTCTTTCTTTCTTTATCTTTCTTTCTTTCTATTTCTTTTTTGTTTCTTTATCTTTCTTTCTTTCTTTGTTTTCTTTTCTATTCTTTTCAGTTTTTCTTTCGTTCTATTTTTTTATCAATATTCTATTTCCCTCTTTCTTTTTCTTTTTTTTCTTTCTTTCTTTTTTCTTTCTTTCTTTCTTTCTTTCTTTCTTTCTTTCTTTCTTTCGCATATTAATTCTTTCATTTTTTCTTTTCCCAATTTTTTTTTTGTTCCGTTTCTCATTTGTTTCTTTGTCTCTTTTCTTTCTTTTCAGGTTCTTTCCCCATATTTTTTTTCTTTTGTTTATTTTGTTTTCTTTTTTTTTCTTTTCTTTTTCTTTTATTTCTTTCTTTTTTTCCTCTTTTTTTTTTACCCATGTCTCTTTTTGTTTTTTTATTTCTTTTTTGTTTTTCTTTCTTTCTTTATCTTTCTTTCTTTCTTTCTTTTTCTATTTCTCTTTTCTTTCTTTCTTTCTTTCGTTTCTTCATTCTATTTTTTTGTATTTCTTTCTCTTTCCTTTCTTTTCTTTCTTTCTTTCTTTTCCTTTCTTCCTTTCTTTCACTTTTTTTCCTTTTCTTTGTTCCTTTCTCATTTTTTCTTTCTTTCTTTTTTCTTTCTTTCTTTTTCGTTCCTTTTCTTCTTTTTCCTATTTTATTTTTCTTTCTTTCTTTCTTTCTTCCACCTTTCTTTCTTTCTTTCTTTTCTTTCTGCAGTTTCCTTTTTCCCTTCACCTTCTTTTTTCACATTTTCGTTTGTATATTCTTTTCTTTCTTTCTTTTTCTTTCATTTTTCTTTCTTTTTTTTTCTTTCTTTCTTTCTACAGTTTCCTTTTTCTTTCTTTTCGTTCGTTTTTTTTCCTATCTTCCTTCCTATCTTCTTCTTTCTTTCCTCCTTCACTTTTTTCTTCCTTCTTTCCTTTCTGCATTTTTACTTTTCTGCCGCCTTTTCACATTCGTTTGTATATTCTTTCTTTCTTTCTTTCTTTCTTTCTTTCTTTCTTTCTTTCTTTCTTTCTTTCCTCTGGCATTCTATTAAGCTTTTTGCTTATTGAAGGATGCTTCAGTTTATTTATTCAATAAATAATTATGAATAAAAACAATTTAGTGTAGACATATTCAAGTTTTAAAATCGACCGAAATTTTCTAGGACTATTAAATTTGTAAAAATCCTCTTGGCTTACTGTCATATCAGTCCTATATAACGAATCCAACTGGATTCGTTATACTCTCACGCGAAAGCATCCTTGGGAAATGTATGGATTTAATTCTTCTCTCCTTAGCTATGGATTAATCAGTGAGATTCGCATCAGTAAATCATTATCATCTACATGAACCACCTCTTAATTTCTGTTGTACCCAGGTTCAATCTGACTCGAGTTGGTAACACCTGTTAGGGACCCAGCTATGGGCAAATTGTTAACACCGAAACTGAGGTGAAAACACTATGAGTGTGCAGAAATACATTTTTATAGTGAAGGTGCCAGCAATATATTTTTGTAAAAAAAAAATAAATAAATACCAGCAATACATTTATATATAAAAAAAAGATAGTACCAGCAAAACATTTTCGTAAAAGAAACATTACCGGCCAAACATTTAAAATTAGAATTACCAGCAATACATTTTTGTAAAAGAAACATTACTGGCCAAACATTTAAAATTAGAATTACCAGCAATACATTTTTGTAAAAGAAACATTACCGGCCAAACATTTAAAATTAGAATTACCAGCAATACATTTTTTGTAAAAGAAACATTACCGGTGCTCCCAAGAAGATTAAATTTCGGCATTAAATGACTCATAAGGTGTTGATATGCCAGCAAACAAACTAGACCAACAAACAATCATCTCTAAAGTAATATAAAAAGAATAAACATTTTAATGATATATTCATATTATTTGGAATGTACCTCTTGGATGGTGCCAGCTTAGAAAGTGTGGGAATGGCATTCTGACTTATGGTAAAAGGTTGCATTGTTTAAGTATTTTTTTTACAGGGTTCTATATAATTTCTTCTTATTTTGTGACCATTGTAGGGGTCGAAATAAGTGACAATCCGAAAATTCAAGATCAAATGATGACGACGATTGGAGTGAGACATGTCAGCCATGATGTAAAAGCCAACACCGCGTTAGGTTTGGTTTGGCTCGTTTTGTTTTACGGCTTATCAACCTCAATGGGTCATTTAATGCCAACAACTTTTTTTTTCCTGGTAATATTTTTGCTTTGTCAAAAATCTATTTTTGTTAATAATTCTTTCCTAAAAAACGTATAGCTGGTAATATTATTTTTCCAAACTTATAGCTGATAATATTATTTTTTTCAAAAACGTATAACTGGTAATATTATTTTTTCAAAAAACGTATAGCTGGTAATATTATTTTTCAAAAACTTATAGCTCGTAATATTATTTTTTCCAAAAACGTATTCTTTCAAAACACAAAACAAAAAAAAAACAAAAAAAAAACAAACAAAAAAAAAACAAAACGTATAGCTGGTAATATTTTTTTTGCAAAAAACATATAGCTGGTAATATCATTTTTCCAAACTTATAACTGATAATATTATTTTTTCCAAAACGTATAGCTGGTAATATTATTTTAACAAAAAATATGTATAGCTGGTAATATTATTTTTTCAATAACGTATAGCCGGTAACACTATTCTTTTTTTTAAAAAAAAAAAGAAAAAAAAAGGCGTATAGCTGTTAATATTATTTTTTCAAAAACGTACAGCTGGCAACATTAATTTTTCAAAAACGTATTATTAGAGGCCTTGCTGTTAGGCGTAGTTTATCGTCTTACCCAGGACGCAGATGTAGTTTATCGTCATACCCAGGACGCAGATGTAGTTTATCGTCATACCCAGGACGCAGATGTAGTTTATCGTCATACCTAGGACCCGGATGTAGTTTATCGTCACACCAGGACGCACCGCGTTAGGTATGTTCTTGTCCTGACGGAAGTTGCCGTCCTTTCTCTTGGCTAATTCTTTTCATCTATTGCTACCTTGATAGAATTTACGGAGAACTGAGATCAACCACTCTGAAGCTTAAACCCAAAGCGATTGCCGTTTGCCAGTCACTACCACCGAGTGGAAGAGGGAGATTGTGGCATCCTTCTGGAAGTGTCTTCACAAGAAAGTTGCCTTTACAGGACCCTATGGCTGCGGCTTCAGGGTTGGACATTGAACATCTGAAGATGGCAGTGTATGACTGAGCAATGTGCAAATTCATTGTTAATGAAATTCCGACCAACCACTGGGAGGTCGAAGGAAGATGATGATGATTGCTATCATTAATTGGTCCAACTTGGGACATCATTTGTGTGGACATGGTGTGGATTCAGCGTTTGTTTATTTGGAGGAAGGATGTCGTAGTACAAATGCTTCTCCATTTCCACCAGTTAAAAAGCATCCATTTTTCCAGTCCTGGGTATGACGATAAACTACATCCGGCAGCAAAGCCCCTTTTATCGGGACATCGGAGGTGCTGAGGATAGTGGACACACCTCATAACTACTGTGATACTAAAGTTCATCTTGACCCGGGGTGGTACCACTTGTTAGGGTCCCAGCTATGGGAATTATTAACCCTTCCAAAACAAATCAACTGTACATTTTTATAATGAAATTACCAGCAATAATTCTTTGTAGTGAAATTACCAGCAATCTCTTTTAAAAAAATACCAACAATATATTTTATCTACGAACTATTTACCTAATACTATATATTCAGAAAGTATAAAAGTTTATATTGACCAAATAATGCTTATTAATTTGAGATACATTATGCAGCTTGTTTCATACAAGTTGCTACCAATTCTTTATATCTGCAAAGACCTTAAAATTGAAAATTAAATTAAAATTGAAACTCGATATGTTTCCGATCGAAAACTCTTAATATAAACCACTTTTGGCATCACACATAAATTTATAATTAAAAAAAAATGGTTTCCACAAGTTCTGAAAGCACTGAAAATACACTTGAAATTGATGGAATGTGCGCCATTTTGAATTATTTTGATACCTTAAATACCGTTATATTTACTAACTGGAGACGCCATTTTATGCTATATTTTTCATTACTGAAAAAACGTTATTTTAAAAAGTAATTTAGTGTTTGTGACTAGTGGAAAACCCCTAAAATTGTTGAAAATCGATTTTTTTTCGTTTAGTTTGTAACTAGTTTCAACAATTTCCACAAAGTTAAATTAAAGAAATGAATTCAATTCATGCTAATTTGAATTACTTTTCATCTTGTGAGGATAGATGTTGCTATCATTGAGTAAATAAACTTTTAATAAGTAGTTGTTTTATATATCGATCAAGCATAAGGTGGCATATAATGTGAGACACGGTGGATATAAGAAATAGAGAAAAGGAATTTAATTTGTTTTTCAATTTTAAATTAACATGCCATGTTTATGCACAAGACCCTGTCCATTTAGAATTGTTAAAAATAGCTATTTCGAAACTCCTTAAAAGATAATGGGTTTAAAATTGATTAAAAAAAAGTTTCATATAATTTTGCCTTATTTTGCTAATGGTAAGAAGCGTTCAGATATTTACATTCACTTGAGGGGTAGTCGATTAGATACAAACCGGAAAAATTAATAACGAGGTTCGATACACGATCCCTGTATGTGTGTGTGCGTGCGTGTGTGCGTGTGTGTGTGTGTGTGTGTGTGTGTGTGTGTGTGTTTTACCTTTTGCAAGGTCTAATGTTATTTAATATTTCTCGTTGTCCATCAAATCAATCTTACGATCCAATTTAAAACTAATTTTGCAACGTAGCTATTAATTTAACATTCGATATGCAGGATATTTCATACAAATTATAATCAATTATTTACAGAAATATATATATATATATATATATATATATATATATATATATATATATGTATATATATATATATATGTGTGTGTGTGTGTGTGTTGCTTTGGAAAGCGCTCAATATCAGTGATAGAGCTAACATATTTTCTTGAATGGATATGAGTTTGTGACTGTCGGTTTCACGCTTATACAGTCATCAGACAAAAAAGTGTTTGAGGATCGCATAAGCGTGGAGCCGACGTTCATAAAACTTCATATCCATTGAACAACATATATATATATATATATATATATATATATATATATCTCTTCTCCGCAGTTCAGAATACACGGTTCGGCGAATTAATGTAGTCAATTTGCCTTTATCAGACATGCATCGAATTCGTCACTGTTCTTCAACGAGCCTCTTCACAATTTATTGATAATTGCCAATCAATTTCCTTCTTTTTACCTTTTACAAGCTCTGAAGTGATTTAATATTTCTCTTTGTCCATCAAATCAATATAATTTTTTTTTCCTCGGGGGTACGTATCTGCTCAATTTCGTATCTGAAACGTAATTCTTTTAATTCTTTTGAAATTACTTTGTTTACGTTGTTCTACTAGCTTCGCAATGTCGGATAGTTAATGACAAAAGTGGCAAAAATATAGACGTAAGCAAAAGAAATATGGCGGCTCGGATTCAGGAATCGGAGGGCCGAGTTCGAATTCTAGTCGAATCCATTACATTCACTTACGCGCTAATACCCTTGGGAAAGGTATTAATCCACGTCTTCTCCCTCCGGCTATGAGTGACTGGTTTCTATAGCCTTGGATGGCAACTTGTCTAGGAGAAGGTCGTTTGGGAACCTTGTGGCACGTAGTGCACCAGGTCTCTGTATTCAGCCCTTCAAAAAGTGTGGTTGGTTCTGCATAAAGCCTTCACCTCTATAATCAAATCATATGTGCTGGGGTCTGGCTGTCAGTTCCTAGGAACTGTGCTGTATGGCCTTCATACATCGAATATGAGGTGACATATATATATATATACACTTTCTCTAAATTCTGTTTTGATTTCAGGTTGTTTTTTCTGTTTTTCATTTTGAATTTGTGGGTCTGATGATTTGGATCGTATTTACGATTCCAATGGAATAAATTATGACCATGGAATATTAGTGTTTAAGCCTTTTATTATATCCTTACTCTGTCCCTAGACATTGA